CATAAAAGAGTGTTCTTACGTTTTACGTTTTCCCAATCCTCTCCTGATTTGGGTTTCCCAAATGGGAAATAATCGTCTACGATGCATAAAATGCTCATATCACAGCTGGGCATGAAGTTCTCTTAATTCTCGATTCACATCCTGCCACTTACTTGAACTTGATTGCGAGCGTCAGCGATCAAGATGGAGCCGTCAGTGTTCAGCACCTTGAGAGCAGGAATCGTTGGCACTTCGTACTTTGCTAGGTACTCCCTGTAATTCAATGACCATTCTCAACTCCGAAAAGCTCTGCAGTTTGGAATAATCTGTGATACAAGAGTCATATCAGTTGTGGGACGCTCCCAGATTAAGATTTGTAGATTGCTTACTGGAACTTTTTACAGTCTTCTACTGGTATCAGACTGAACGAGTAGCGCCAGCTCAAGCCAGTGAGCGTCAAAGCTGTGCAGACTAGACCAGTTAGCTGTTACGTGGTCTGACGGCGGAGAGGTCACTGGCAGCTCTCGACGCCATGACGAGTCCAACTTCAGTGAATGCCTCTTCAGGATTAGAGAAGGCACATCGCGCATACCGTCAGTGTACGGGGGCACACCTCTCTTCACGCACATGCTACCCTATTGCCAAAATAATAGCACTCAGGTGACCGTGTCAGTGAGCCATCATTTCAGCTTTCCCCTTCATGCAGTCTCACGGTACACTTTAACAGTCTTACTTATAAGTATTGAAAAGCACTAATATTCAGCGAATTGATTACCTAATTAGTATCTTAATATCCAAGACCAATTACTTACTGTATTCTCTCATCACCAAAAGGAATTGCTAGCCAGCCACCACAATGCTCCGTAAGATATTCCTGAAAAAAATGAAACTGATGCTTTGAGAGAACTGGAGAAATTGAACGACCCCAGTACGACTTCACCTATTGCGACGACATGTTCAAAAATTCAAAAACGTGGCCAACTCTTGTTGAAAGATAAGGAGCATGATGACATGTACAGTCACTCTCTTGCATGTAAGGGATTGTGAATAAGCGCAGTCCGAGCGGCCTTTCCCACCAATTGTTGCAGGCTCGAGAACGACGGATTGAAAAGCGGAGTAACTGGCACGCTACTGCAGCTGCGGAAATGGCGCTATCACCCCGCCCCCCCCCCCAAAATTCTTACCCCAGTGAAGATCTTCCTTTCATGAAACAACTACTCTTCTACCAGATTTTTAGTAATAATTGTACCGTGGTCTCGGAGGAGGCGGAGGAGATGGGGGTGAACAGCCCTGATCATTATCAGCGATGTCAATTTTGTCTGGAAACTGAAGGGGGGGGGAGGGGGAATTGTGGAGCGTTGAACGCATGATTCCGAAGAAAGTCATTAATAAGAAAGGTACCTTCTGAGACCTAGGAGACACCCTCCCCAGCGGTCAAATACGACTCTTCTTATAATGCTCATGTTTCGCATGAGTTGGTGTACAATAATCTGCCCGCTCCTGATGGTTGTAACTACGCATCAACTGGTCAACGCACGCGTCTCGTAAATGTGTCAGCAATAGCAAACAGGCAGTTGGCACGATAAATTCCTAAAGACGAGTAGGATTGATACGCCTGGCAGGGCGGATTTCCGCGACCCTGAGCAGGCGCTGCGTAGCGGTTTTTCCTATGGAGGTACCCTTATAAGGGTCCTATCAAGCTACAACATACCGACCCAAACGCCCGCCACGCCTGCTCGCCCACATGGATATGGTATGAACGACCTTACCAGGTGCTCGTTTTGCTTCATTTGCTATCTGAAATATGAGAAGAAGGGAATGGTATGAAGCGGCTGAATGGATATATGGGTACATACATGCAGCCGTACCTACCGGAGCGGTTATTTGCAATACGCCTACGGGAAACTCGTCCGAAATTGCTTCTCAAGAACGAAGGCTTTTCTTCGCAGTTTTTGACCGTTTCACTTCGTTTTTTCGCCATTTTCCCACTAGATAGCGCCCTGCTAGCATTTTAGGCTGAGTACTGCAGTCGTCATGGACTGCGTGCCTGGACTAAACTCCTGATACCAGAGTCAAGAGCGATGCCGCTAATTTTCGCAGAAGCATTCTCTTTCGTCTTCCCCTTCTAACGATTTTTTCGCTCCTCCTGATCGCTTTCAATCATGTGTTTTGCTTAGCTCTCAACTCTTCGTAAGCCCAAACCTCCGAAAATTGTTTATGGAGCGAGTTCCGCAAACTGCTTGACCCCATTTCAGACACACCCCGAAATTCAGAGTTCAGGCCTCTTTATTGTCCCTTGTAGTAGTATGGAACGTTGACATGAATACGCTCGTGACATGAGCATCCTTCTCAGCCCTGATCAACGGAATAATTTCAATGCTTCGCCCATTAGCTATGCCTTCTCACTTGGCTTGAGGGTGTGGTTAAGGACATCCGCGACGCCATACTGCGCTGAATCGGAAAAATATTCCTGAACCTTAAAACGCTA